AATAACGAAATGTGCTACTCTTCCACGCAAAAATCTGAAATGTGCTACTTTTCGACGCGAATAATGAAATGTGCTAGTCTTCCACGCTAATAGTGAAATGTGCTAGTCTTCCTCGCGAATAGTGAAATGTGCTACTCTTCGTAGGGACCGACGATATGTAAAACAAAGAACAGTCCAGCGCCTTCGTCTTGGTCTGCGTGCTGTATCGGGGGCACAGCAGCTAAATTGAAACGTAGAATACGTGATATGGTTAAAAGCACCTCCAAGTCGAAAACACACTAAGAAAAAAATATCGATAACAAAAGCGATAACATCGATAACAAAATCCATAGCAAAATCGATAAAAATATGGATAGCAAAATCGATAACAAAAACGATAAAAATATCTATAACAAAATCGATTACAAAATCTATAAAAAGTCGATTACAAAATAGATTAAAATATCGATAACAAAATTGATAAAAAATAGGGTTTATTATATCGATAAGTTCCGAAAATATCGATAGCAAAATCAAAAACATACTTGCGCTGCGATTTGGTCATAAATATTACGCCATCTGTTATTCAAAAGCCGAAATGCCCATACACACATACATTTTGTCTACTTTTCAGGAAAAGTCTTGAATTTTTAACTAACGAAAACAAAAACAAAATCATTCAAGCGGTTTTGCTGCATTTTGGTAATAAAAAAAGTTGCAAATTTTTTCAAAAATTTTGTACACGATAATAGTTCTATTGCTCCAAATAACCTATATCCTGAAAATTAAAGTTATATCTGTAAATCATTAATTGCCAGGACACTTCAAAGGCTCAAAATTTACCCCAAAATAAGCCAATATTTACCGTTGTTTCTACGACAGAAACCGGATTGGTTACCTACAAAAATAAATATGTCGATAGATTTGGAATTTTATCTTTGAAACGCCACACTTTTCTTTGAAATCGCTTCATTAGTTCTCGTGCAATAAGCGTTTTCGTAAAGCTCTAAAAATTACAACTACAACATTTGAACATAGCCTTCATATCGTAAGGTAAGACGTATTCTACGTCAAGAAAAGGATTCAGGACATATTTTTTTTTAAGTAGATAATTTTGCCCACCTAGATTGTACAAATATCGCACTGTGCATAGTTAAAAGATCCTGGTATAGCTAGCGAGTTGACTGCCGACAAAGGCATACGTACATATTTATAGGAATACATGCGTGTTTTTAGATACATATGTACATGTATGTTTATACATACATACATACATGCCTTATATTAACATACACTGAACTTTATGTAGGTGCAGGAGTTTGTGTTTTAAAATGAGTTGTCAGCAGACGTGTGCGGATTTATGGCAACTCATTTTGAATCTGGGCGCCTTGGATGATATGTGAGCTACCAACACATACTCTCTGACGGGTGCTGTAACTGGTACGCTTGGGTTTGTATGGCCCATATATGTACATACAATCATATGTATTCATATCCACATACATATATATTTATATATAGGTCCATATGAAAACTTTTGCTTTTTGCCTATGTGTGCGAATGATGAATCTTTATATAGCCAGGAAAGTGTAACGATTTCTTTGTGGCGCTCATGCACTCTGCACCTCGCTGCTCTCTCTCTCTGCCGCCCTTTCGACCCTTTGCAATTTGTGCATAAATTTATTCGTATGTTATATCCCGGCCAGAGCAGCGTGTTTGGGATGATTTGATTTAAGCAAGTGGAAAATTGAATTTGAAAATTAGGTTACAGCGCAATTTAGTTACGCACCTGGGTGGGTAGAGGCTACAGCATTAGGCATTTTTTGCTATTGTTCGCCCAGTCAAGAGGGGTCAATTGAGTGGGCTGCTAATCAGTTTTGAGTGCATGTGTATGTGAGAGGGTGTGTTTGGAAGGGTGCGTGTGAGGTTAAGTAAGCACAATACCATACACATATCCGAGCATCGATTTGCATTTGTATTAGACTTGTGTTTACATGTGTGGTTCACAGCTGTGTTGATTGAGTATATGTATGTATGCGCGCTGCAATACTCGTTTGTTTGTTTGCTTGTTGACTCATGCGATAATGAGCATGCAAATGAGAAAGTGAATATGAAAATGTTTACGCACATATATTTTTGCAGCAGTACTTTTTATCCTATTCGCACTTATTTACTTCAACAAATTTCTCATTTCAGGGTCATCCTGGCGTACACGGCCCCAATGGCCAGAAAGGTGAACCAGGCCAACCAGGTGTGCCAGGTATGGCAGGTGCACCTGGTGCTCCCGGTCTGAAAGGTGATCGCGGTCTACCTGGTGAATTGGGACCCATCGGACCACAGGGTCCACCTGGTGAAGTCATATATGCAGATAATTCTCTTAATGGTACAGCTGGCCAAGCGGCAGGACAGTGCCAATGTCCAGCGGGACCACCTGGCCCACCAGGAATGCGCGGCCCACAAGGCTATGAGGGTCCACCCGGTTTGAACGGCGAGCCTGGTCCAGCTGGGTCGAACGGTTTGACCGGCCTGCCTGGCTCCAAAGGTGAGAAGGGCGAAAAAGGTGTGCGGGGCCTGAGCGGCCCAAAAGGCGATCGCGGCCCTGAAGGACCGCCAGGGCAGGCCTTTTTCGCTGGCGGTTACGAAGGCATGGCTATGAATGGCACCAAGGGTGATAAGGGCGAGAAGGGTATGCGCGGACGACGCGGCAAACCGGGCCAAGCTGGACCGATCGGACCGCCGGGCAAACCAGGTCCGATGGGCGATATTGGGCATTCGGTAAGTGGAAATTGATGGTTTGGATTTTTTTGTAAAGTATGGAATATTGCATTTTTAAAAAGAGACATTTTCTCCTATAGTTTGAGCGAGTTCTTAGCAGTTGTGAGTAGTTGAATCTTATTTTTTGTTTGTTGCTAGAGTAAAACTTGAGGCTGCTTAAGCTATTAGCATCAACTTATCAAAATCGTACTTGTGTGCGGATGTATTTTTTGTTGAATTTGATAAAAAAAGGTTAGCTTGAAGGCAGATTTGCTTAAATGGCTTTATCTAAGATCAACCTATCCTCAAAAATGGGGCCTGTTTAATTCCAAAGTCAACAACCACCAGGTCCACCAGGACACCCAGAAAGGAGAAGCTGTCATATTTTCATCAACGCTGACGGCGTGACACTCATCGTCAGAGGAAAGTTTCTGGGCAGTCTGCATGATTGTATGCTGGATACTTAAGCTTATTCACTTTATTACGGAATAAAGTAGTTAGCCTTGTTAACTAAAAGAAGTTAGGTGCGTGTTACCAACCTTCCCTCAATCAACAAAATTTCACTTGTGCTCCCTGAATATGCCAAGCACTTGGGCGTTATCCTAGAGAGCAAGCTATACTGGTTGCCATTTATTGAAAAGCTCTGCATTTAATTCATGACCCATGGGAAAGATGCATGACCCACCTTAAAAGGAAATCTATTCACTTCATGAAACGCATATTAGTACGATTATATTGTAGGTGGTCATTGTTTAGAAAACGCCTCTCAGGCAAAGTTGCTGAAGTCCTTCTTGGCCGGTAATCGACCGCGGATGGTCAGAGCAGTTTTTTCTTAGCTCGGTAAATGCCATCTCTTCATTCGTGCAAAATTAGTAAACAAGCACGGTGCAAAGGAAGCCATTCGGTACGATCCAGTATCGCTTCGGACCCATATTGCCGTAGGTGTTTAGAGGATGACGAAGTAGATTCATCTCAGCATTTTCTTCTCAGTGACATTGCCTCGATACGAAAGACTAGTATGGACGGACACCATATTTTTCTGACACAACTTTATATGGTTTACCTGCAGTTAACGGTCTACGAAAATACTATATTAAATACTAACACAATCAATAGTTATAGGAGCCTTGAGTTAGCTGCTCGCGGAACTGCCTTGCATAGCCTAAACGTGCAAATCTCACGAGTGGTTTTTTTTAAGTGTCACTTCTTTCTCTCGCCAGAACAAGAAATACTAAAGCATTATTTTTACATATATTTCAATCAATGGAGTTCCAGAAATAAGTACAATAAAAAATAAATCAAGTATTTGAACAATTTTGTTCTTAGGCGAAAAAATACCGAAATTTCTCACTTTTTCATTGTCAATCGAACAAACCATAATTGTGTTTTTTAATAACTTTAGGAAGTTTTCAAACAGAATGTTAAAATTAAAGACAATGGACATTGGCATCAAATAAAACATATCTGTGAAGTTTCAAGAGTGTGCCACCAAATTAAAATAAAATTGCAGTATGCGGAATATCAGTCGCAGCTATTTTGTAATTTTTGCAATGTTGAGATTTTGTTTTTAATTCTAGTAATATAGAATACTTGAAAATGTTAAAATTAAACTTGGAAAATGTTCTATTTCCGAAACGACCGAATGTAGTGTAATAAAACAAGCGGGCCGCCAAATAAAAAAAACAATACATTGAGTAAAACAAGGTAATAAATATGCGCATAGAAAAATCGTCCACGCCAATATTTAATTTCTTTTAAATAATATGAAGGAAGAATTGAGGCGTGCCATGGCATGGTGCTACGGGGCGTATACGTTGCATACACACAACTGCGGGTATATGAGCACTTTTTAGTATATCTTTTTCAATATTCAAAATTCATTTAAATACAATTTGACGATGGAATCTGGTTCTTTATACAGAACTGAAGTCGTGAGATTTGCTCATATGGAATTGAGAAAAAGCTGATGTCTTCTAAAATCGTTTTATTTCGGCGAATCTTCTTTGAGTCTATTTTTCATCTACCCTTTAAACATACCGAGGAACTGCTTTCAGCACCTGTCAAAAGTACATATACGCACTACATACATTTTTACTGATCCATAATTTTTCAGAATAACAGCCGATATTTCCTGCCACTTCTATGTATGCCTTCTTGATCGGCTTTAAAAGCTTACTCATTCGCCCTGTTAACGCTGAACAACTTGCTGAAACTTTCATACTTTATATTTAAGTAAAGTACCCTGAATCCCAAAGAAATGTGGCTGCATTGCCAAAATAGAGTCGCAATCTGGCGAAATATTCGTATTAAGTAAAACAAGTATACTCCACTTTGAAACAATTGTAACCATCGATGCCGCCAAAGTATTTTTGTGCTACCCATTGCACAATTCCACGCTACTCGATTTCGAAATATTCTTGCAGCCAAGCGGTTATGTGGAAATTTGTTGTTCCATTTTCCTCTGCTCTGCGGCTTTGATTCATTTTGACCTTACCTACTACGTTCGTACTTTCAGCAACAAATTCGTGTATTTCGTTTCTTTTAAGCTTCGCTCCTCTTGGGTTTTGTTGAAAACTTTCCGTTGCTTTTGGCTACAAAGTCGTTGGCGCTGCTTTTGAGTGGTTTGGTAAAATTTTGTTTTATTTTATTTTTTGCAAATATTTTGTATTTATTTTGTAGCAAAACTAGGCCATTTGCGACAATGTGTATGGCAACATTCAGAACAATTTGTTTTCTTTGTTGATAATTGAATGTTGTTAGTAACAGATTGAAGGAAAGTAAAGTCTTCCTGAGATATTTTAAAGCTAATTTTATACTAAAGTTATAGTTTAAATGCTGTTTACGTTTAAGAAGTTGTAAGTCACCTAACAAAGGCACATTTTTGTCGTTTCAGGGGCGACCTGGACTTACAGGACCTAAAGGTGACATGGGCAGCAAAGGACAAAAAGGTGAAAATGGCGGACGAGAAGGGGTGAGTAACATTTTGCAGCAACTAACATGTCTATTGTTCATTATTTTTATTCAGTTGTAGTAAATATGTATTTTTAGTTGTGAGAGAATGTTTCATATTTTCACGCGGCGATATACTATGTAGCCGTCCCTGCGTGCGCCCTTACGAAGTGACAGGTCAGCACATTCCTTTTATTGCGCATCCCAGAATTAACCTGCTGACCCACTTGCCATTATAAATGAAGTTGTAGAGGTCCTAAAAACCTAACTGCGAGAGGCTGTTAAAGAAGTTTGAAGCCAGGCAGAGCCTCAAATGTTTTAGCCGAATTTTTAAATATTTACGACACTTTTTTCTAAAAGATAAACTAAAAAATATGAAACCACTGTAAGAGTATATAATATACCTGCAATAAGCAATAAGCTAAGTTATTGTAAACTTAACATAAGGCGATTTGTGTCTATACCATAGGTGACAGAGTTATGGGTCTAGTGCTTAAGACATAGACCGCGCAGGACACTGTAGTGACACACGTTATTTGTTGTTAAACAATTGTTCTTACATTACCTTAAATCAATGAAATATTTATTTTTATTTTTTATTTTTTTATGCACGATCAATTTTTAGTTGAAAGCCTTTTGTATTTTTCATTCAGTTTTTGATCTACGAAAATAATAAAGCTTTGAAATTTATTAAACCTAAAAACTAAACATTTTCAATCATGATAAAAATGCCATCTTAAAAATATATAGCGTAATAAAGAAATATTCGACATTTGATAGCGAAAATGCTAGAAGTATTTTAATAACCACTTAGTCTGCTGAATTTTTCGTCACTAAATTATTTTCAGTTGTAGCCTGCTGTTGTCACAGAAAAGGACTAAACTTCTTTCAAGTTCCCTAGCTGATAGACATCAGGAAAGCAGTCATATATAGTAACGTTAAGTGGCAACCGCAAGTGAGTGAATAGTAGTTAACTAGTGAACCCGCGTGGCGTTAAAATGCCCAAAATTTAATTACAAAAATCTAAAAAATATTCCAAATGTTAATCAGAGTTATAAGTGATCCGAGTGCCATATTTCATCTAAATTTCGGGCAGCCATTTATGAGTAAAGAGAGGTCTCGCACAGTTTCAGATTTTAATACCCTACAACTCCCATACATGGAAAGAACGGTGCAAATCTAATGACCTTCACAAAATATTCCCTCCGGTTTAATATACCTAGTTAGATCACTATGACTTTTCGAAAAGGTGGCAAGCCTAATAAGAGATATGTATTTATTCATTCGAGATTTAGTTTTAATTTTTCATAAAACTTGTGTATAAGTTGACTAACTTCGACTATCAAACAGGTGGAAATCCTTTTTAAACGTATTTTCAAGCTAAACCCTTTTTCAAATACGTGGCAGCCCTCCTAAAGAAAGGCTGATATAAAGCCTTTTAAAACCCATTACTATTGATATCCATCTCTTGATAATTCATCTAATTTACAAGTAATTTGAATGTAACTTTTTAAACAGGTGGCAGCCCTTTTATAACATTATAATAGTTCCTACTAAAGATTTTTTAACACTCTATCCTCTGACATCTGCATTTTAATATTTCATATAATTTGTATATACATAACTAATCAAATTCGACTTTTAAAACAGGCGGCAACCCTCGAAAAAAGTATTTTCAAGCTTAAACATTCCCGAATTTCCTTCGCCTAGAATGATGATGAATATTTTAGATAACTGCTGAATTAAGTTGAATTTAGATTTTTTAAACATGTGTCAACCCTCTAAATATAGTTGAGAAATAAAGCCTTTTCAAAGCCACTTCGACTGCTACTAGTATTTTAATAATTTATATAGCTTTTTAAATAATTTGAATTTAACTTTTTTAAAAGGTGGCATCCCTCTTTAAACACCTTAAGAATATTGTGAGTATTCAAACTAACCCTCTTCAAAATATTTACAAACTATCACCTTCTGAAAAACTTTTCGTCTAGCGCCCCCATGGTGATACATATGGGTCATTCCATACAATATTTACACCCCAAAATTTTTTTTTGGTGAAATATATTTTTTTACATTCTTTATCGAAAAAAGAAGATAGCTATTATTTTATTTCGTCATGATATTCGAAAATCTCGAAAAAAATTCCCGAAATTTTGAACTCACGGAGAAGTATCTTTTTTTCAATTGTTTGCAGTTAATAAACTATTTGTCGGAGAAAATCAGTTAAGGTATCAAAATGTGCGTAATTACCTCGGCTTTCCACGAGAGTTTGAGATAGCTTAAATTAAAAAAATGTTTGCATTCAAAAAGCGCATTTTTTTATTTTCTATTTTTTTATTAACTTCATCATGTTTGATTTTTATTCTTTTCTTCAACCTGAATAGTTTTATAGAGTAAGCTGCAAAAATTTGAGAATGAAAATACCAAAACTGTAGAAGTTACGAATTTTTTCATACCTGCGTACATAAAGTTTATACTAACAACAGGGAGTCGGTAACGTCGATAACTATGTTTAACCGGATATTAGTGTTAACCGGACATTAAGTAACCGGCCCTTATACTTTTTGAAAGATCGGAGCCATCACCAGTAACCCAGCGGCGCACAGCTAAATGGGGTTCGTTCACAATATGCATTGCGGAATTCATACAAATAATTCATTAAAATACCGCGGACCAAATTTAAAATTGTAATGTACATTGTACGCAGTCTGATTACAGTTTAGAAACGAATACGTATTGTAATTAACACCCGAAGAGTATTCGGTCACATTATACTTTCCGATTACAAACAGAACGAGTACGTAGAGGACACTAAACAAAAAGCGGGCATGCTTATAGAAAAGTAATCTGGGTTGTAATCCATTCATTCCGTTACATCGCCTTCGACGTGTTGAACGATTATTCGATTACGTAATGTGCATTTGTGCCGCTGGGATGTCCCTATTTGCTTGTTGTTGATTGTTTCTCGTCTGAGAAGAAATTTTGCAACTGCCCTGTCTGGCCTTCTCAGGAAATGGTTACTTGCTTTGTGGGTATCAGTATTACATCAATGGTTTTAATGAATCTTTTTCAATAGAGCCTTGATGTATCTGACAGTTTCACGCAACATTTGGCTCTGTAACGTACTCTGGTCCAATTAAACGCTCGCCAATTTATCAGCTAGTTTCTTGGACTTTATCATTATAGTGTTCCAGTACCTATGTACATAAGTTCAATGTACATAACTAGTTCAGCCTCAACTTACATTACTTTACAATCTTTGAAAAGATACTAGTAATTTTCAGGGCCTCTAGAGCAGCTTGGCTGTCACCCCTATTTTATATGTCTCCGCTCAATCTTGCTCAATTTAAGTATACAGTCTACTAAAATTTAGTGAAGTAACCATGCAGAAGTCACATAGCTTCCACGTTTAGTCTTGGAGCCATTTGCATAGAATGTTTTTTCCGAGTTATATAGAAGAATATCTGGAACTCTTGTGGCAAACTTTTTCACTTTCTTCCAAAAAATACGACAGGTATCAGTCGACACATCGTCTTCAGTGCTTCGTCTTGAGTAACAAATCCAACAAGGAATAATGAGCCGCTGCTCTTATACTCATAGCGCGACTTTACATATTCTTTCCTCACCTATTTAACATAAAAAATGTGGGTTTTACAATGGTGCTACACTACCATAAATACTACAGAAGAGTTGAAACTTTCAAATTTTCCTTTTCGTATAAATAAGACTAAATTTTTTATTTTTTGGTAATCCTCTATGAAAGATTTTGCTGTTGCTTCTCGATCGAATTGTAAAGCGGAATGTGCCGGACTTGCCTAAAATACATACTATCTATAACCTCAATGTTCAGTAAAGTTCAATAAAAAATCCCAAACTATACAACTAGATTAACTTAGCTTTTAGAAAGGTAATAGGTTACTTCAGGTTGGCAACTTAGTAGAAAAACCAAGCATTATTTTACTGCTATTTTATGTCTTTTTTGGGAGTATTGCATAACTTCAAATACGAGCCGCAAGTATTTTTCTCTAACGATGAGGATTTATCTGTTTTAACCTATACCATATGGAGACCTTGCTCAGTTCATACTTATCTTTCATTTAAATTCTTGTGCAAAGAGAAAGATAGTACCTGCTTATGAATCCAATTTCACACAAACTCGTATTTGTAAAACAAAGGTTAATCAAAATTTAGACGGCTTTTGTGTGAGGAAATAAATAGTCTTGCTAATATTTCTATTTACTGTTTTCAATGTGAATAAATACCAACACCGCTACTAAAACTTTTATTCGAATATTTACGTTTATATGTATATACATACAAACATACCTACATACACCAATCTTTTATCCTTTTATAAGATCAAATTAGCATTTTCTTTAAAAAGAGAAAAGAAAAAAACCAAACCAAAACTTCCCGTTACTACAGTGCCAACAACTTCTCTTAGCTTCCTGCCAATGTACATAATCACCAACTACTTTGTGACTTAATTTAAGCAATTAGGGTTATCACTTAGAGCACAAAAGCTTGCACACAAAATAAAATTCTCACTTACTAAGTATTTCGTAAGCAAAACTTTAGCCGTAAACAAAAATTTTGTTGTATAAACAAACCGCCAAAGGTAAGCAAGGACCATTAGAAGAAGGGAAGAGTTGCAGTGCAAACAAGCCGGCAGCTGACTCAGCGCATAACGAACACATCAACAAAGTGAACGAGCGAAGCGAACTTAATAAATGATTTTAGCGCTAATGTTGACCCCAATGAATGCAGCCAAACCCATTTTACTTGTAATGCATTCCTAAAATGCTATGAATATCTATCTTCCACATCGTGCAACGTGCAAAATGAAACAACCATCCGCAGTCATCGTTTTAAAAAGCAAGCGCCAGCAGCAAGGCGCCAAGTAACGCTGCTGGCCAATACGGGCGAGTACGTTTATGTTTTGGATGCATTTGTGAGCTAAAGTGATAGAGACTGCCATCTCTTTTGCTGAAATGCAAGAAATTTTTATAACAAATTTTAAAA